GTAGATAATCATTTCTGGAGGTATGTAAGATGATCACTACAATGAGAAAGGTTCAATAGACTCCTGGAAATTTCCTGACTGAGCAGTCAGCTGAAGATAAATTCTACTCCAGACCAAAGCCACAAAGTCAGGGATATTGAGTAGAAAGAGGAAGAAAGTAGTTAGAAGAACCAGTGCCTGAGCAGTAGCAAACCTTCAATAATTACTGATATTCCAGTATTTGCTAATTCTAAATGGTGAGTGGAATCTCAATGAGCCAGAGGTCTCTGGTGTCTTATGATCATCCATTGATAGATGGAACTCATGATGGAGAATAATGAAAGGATAGCAGATCTAAGAAGGTTATGAATATACTAAAACAAACAAACAAACAAAAAACAAAAACTAGAAGACCTATCATGACAAAAAGAAACCAGATAAATCTCCTTCTGATTAATTCTTCATTGAAATGATAGCCTAAGCAAGTGGGTATGTAGTATAAATATTCTCTTATGGCAGCTAATCAAAGTGGAATTATACTGGCTCTTTGGACCTGCTGGAGTTTCTGTCATGTCTTTGGAAAAGAGAGTAAAGCCTGGAATTAGAGCTCTACCAGTCATCAAACATTTGGTGACACTTTTTTTTTCAATCAAACAAGGTGAAAGTTGTTTATTCCAGTGCCTGTGCCAAATTCCAACTCAAATAATTACAAGTCACATTTATGTACTCTGTGGGAACAGGTGGAAATTAAAATTTCTTTGGGTTTTAGAATTATCACCTTCAGTGATAGAGAATATTAATGGGTCCATCCTCTCAAAATCATCATATATTTCAGTTAGATTCAGTACTCTTCCCTCATTATAGTCCTAAAGTAAGATAACATGGGACTCTTAAACAGTTCCTATGTTCCTGCCCAAGAGACGGGGCTTCATTTCTGCAAAGAGTGAAGTAATCTCACTATATCACTTACTTCTCTTGGCATACTTGTGAAGTTTAATTAGCTAATGTACTATAAGGTACAATGAGGTCTTCAGGTGAAAAGCAAATTTTTTCCAAATTACAAATGGTGCCTAATTGTAAAGATTTTAAAAATGCATTTGACAAAATGAAACTTAGGAAAACACACTCTTGAGCTTTTCTTAACATTTTAATCTTCATCTTAAAAAGACAATCTCAAATATCTATAAATTTCATATTAATAACAGTCAAAAATCCTTACAAGGATAATGGATTAAAAGGTCTGTTACTAATTACTGCAGTCCAATTTCCTTAAGTCTTTCATAAAACTGTCTAATAGCTAAAATAAATAACTGAATGCTATTTACAATTTCCATCTACTTTTAGTCATCACCAATTGCTGTAGGCTTATTCTTAAACTAACACAGCACATGATTACATAATTATCCTTTAATCAGTACTGTAGCTAATAACTGCACCTGGTACATTCTGGGTACTCATATCTGACTTTATTTCATTAGGATAATCTTGACATCAGAATGGTCAGCTGTCTTTTATTGAACACAAGGTATGTTTCTATTTTAAAGATGGCAGAAGTCAGTAGTATTTTTTTAAACAAATGAAGATGTAGTTCTTTCTTTTCATCTCTTACAGTAATATATACACTTGTATTAAAGGGGAAGCATTTTGATTTCCCTCAACTCTATACACCAAATTCCAATTTAAGTCAAAGAAGAAAAATTCATGGTGCAAAATTTGTTTAATTTTTTGATATAGCATTATATCATTAGGTAAAATCAAACCAAACATGTCTTTAGTTGCATAAAGTCACAGTTTCTCAAAGAAAAGAATTTTTTAAGTGATTGCTAGTGGGATAAGAAATTATTTATAAATAGTTTAACTTCATTTTAAGATCAAAATAGGCAATAATGAGCCTTTAAATTTCAAAATCATATTAATTATGCTACCCAACATCAGTAAACAATGATAATTCAAAGAGATTATCTTTTAAATTTCCAAGTAAATAAATTCTTTACCAAAATTCTCATGAAAGATAGTTCTATAGCATTGAACTAAGGAACAGCTTGCCTATGCATTTATACATATATGTATAAATATATTAATATTTATTCACATATATTTATACATATACATACATATATTTTCTGAATACACATACATGTATGTGTTTAAGTTTATTATATATATATACACATACATAAATATGTATTCAAAACACTGGACTGCTTGTTCTGTTGATTAATATAAACCAAATGTTCAACTTAAAAATCAATCATTCTTTCCTTACTAGAAGCTTACCTTTTAAAATATATCAGGATAAGTTTTTTGCAATTATGCTATAATTTAAAGGAAAAAAACCTTTTTTTTCCCATCTATTACTAAGAAATACATGTTATTCCTATGAAGTTAAGCAAAACGAGTCCAATCTCATGTTCTCAATAAATTTTCTCATCTTCAATTCCTTCAATTAATCCTTATATAGCACAGCACCCTATCTTCTTACCAACTTGGCCACTCTCTTTTGGATATTCTCCGGCCCATGTTCTTACTGTGTACTGACCAGAAGTGGACACTATATTCCATATCTGGTCTAGCTAGGGTAGAGTACCAGGAAACTATCATTTTCTGTCATTTGGACAAAATACCTCTCCTAATGCAGCTTAAGACAGCATTAGTATTTTTGGCCACCATGTCACATTATTAAGTCGTGTTGAGATTGCGGTTCAAAAATACCTCAGATCTTTTTTTTTTCTTCAGAAATTGTTATATAGTCATCATGACTGTCCCCATCCTGTGCTTGTGAAACTGATTTTTTTAACCCAGGAGTGGCACTTTGCATTTATCTCTATTTCCTTCTTTCCACTCAACTATTCATGTTTCAATGCAGGTTCTGAACATGGTAGTTAAGAAAACATTTATTTTTTACCTACAAAGTTGGTGAGTAGAAAAATACTATTGGACAGTATTACCTAGTTAGAAGGCAATTCCAATAATATGTATGGCAGAAGCGAAAGAATAATTGCTTATATTCATATATTTTAGTTACTCCACTCCCCCAACCAGGAATGTGCTGGTGCCACACCTGCACTGACTCACAAGAGCCAGTAATTAAACTTTTAGTGGGAGCATTCACACCTTGGAAATTGGAAAATGTACAAATTAGGGCTTGATTTATTATTTGGTTGGTTGCTAGAATTAAGAAAGTGATGGAGGAAATATTAGTGCAGATTAAACTTACAAATGTACCACAGATGCCATATATATGTATATATATGCATATATACATACACATATACACATATATACATACATATATGCACATATATACACACACATGTACATGCATATATGCACATGTGTGTGTATGTGCAAGTGTGAGCATGTATAATCAGAGAGCTGGTCTTTAAGAATATACCAAAACATCCATATCTCTATTTCTCAATTATTTCTCAATTATTTATTTGCAATAATATAGGTAGGGCTTTATTACTATGAGTATATTTAACCTATACAACACCTGAAGCATGTGAAGATTTTAGAAAACTGTATGAACATCTAAATATCATTCCACAGTTGCCAGCTACATAGGACTAAGCTAGCCCCACTGAATTCCTAATTTTTTTTTAGAATTTTACTTGCTTAATTAGCTAATTCCCATGATTTGCTCCTTTCTTTATGCTTTTAATCTCTATTCCTTTTCCTGAACTTTTACAAACAGATCTCCCTCTGAAGACTATGGTTTGGATTTCGTAAGTGTTCCTGCTCTGCTCCTTCCTGGGTAATTTTCACCCTGGTTCTCCTTCCATGAGATCGTGGACTGGTTCCCAGAGTAAGTTTTATACCCTTTTTCTACCCTGGCAGAAGACCAGAGATTGATATAATAGGCATTCTCAATAAGGTGTTTGAGCCTATTAGTAGAATATAGTGGCTAGTCTATGAAAAAACTGATAGGAAGAGGAAGCAGATATAATTTAGATCCTTCTTAAACACATAGAAAACACTTAATAATACCTTTTCCATGTTTTATTTATTTGTATATACTATTTCAAATATTTATATATCAACAAATAATGTTTCATTAAAATACTATAGGAAAAAAATATAGAGTTATAGTAGTATTCATGTGATTTTTTTTTACTGGTATCAAAGACATATGCACTGATCAAACATAGATATGCAATTATTCTCCACTAGTAATACAAAGTTCCAGAATACAGGAAATAGCTAATAGCTAGAATAATGGGTGCCCCAAATATATGCTTGAAATATAAAACTCCATAAACATGAAGTCAGTTTTAGTCACATTCTCTGAAAATAACATTTTATGCTAGGTCATCAAAGTTGTTTACATGATAAACTGTACTACTAATCTCAGAGTCATAACCAGAGCAAGGCAACCAGGATTCCTCCATGGGCCAAATCCATTTATTTATTTATTTATTTTTGGTGAGGCAATCAGGGTTAAGTGACTTGCCCAAGGTCACATAGCTAGTAAGTGTCAAGTGTCTGAGGCCGTATTTGAACTCAGGTCCTCCTGACTCTAAGTTGGAAGCTTTATCCACTGAGCCACGTAGCTGCCCCCATGGGCCAAATATAAAAGGTAAAAACACCTACATTCTTCCATAGCATAAAAATAACAAAGCTTAGACCAAGTTAATAAGAATAATTTGCTAAAATAGTAAGATATAAGATGATGGCCTAGAGTAGGCTTTTTCCTAGATTCTATCTTGCTTCTCCCAGTTGGGAAGTATTCCAGCCTTTCCTCAGTCGAGGGTATGCACTCGGCATACCCTTGACAAAACATCTCTAATTATGACTCTGATTTGCTGAAAGGTCCATTCCATTCTGAAAAATTTATACTCATATTTATAGTCCCTTCTATAGTTACAATCTCTTTTAATTGTTGTTTAACAAAATGAAAAAAAAAACTCTTAAAACGTCAAAAGAAGTGTGATATCTGACCTTATATAATGATCCCATTCACCATTTTGAAATATTTCCCACACTTTAGCATATACAGCAAAAATATGAAAGTATTTCACCTGAATGGAGATCTGTACCTGGTTGACTAGTCAGTCCAGGGAGAGATTCCTGCAACTGATAGGTTGATGAGGATGAAGATGTGCCATCAGCTGTGTTATTTGAAGCCATATATGCTCCATATGTTGATGCTGAATAATACTGTGCATATTGGTTTTGGCCAAAGGCTGTATAGGATGGATAATCCTGAAACAATAATTGAAATGCATTAACTGAAGATACTGCTCTGATCAGGGTCAGACTTCTATATGCACCACAAAGAAGTACAGGAGACAGAACTACCTGTCAAGTCAGCTACCCTGCCATACTTCAGTGAATCTGCAGTCTTATCCATGTGGGTTCTCCCTGTACTGGTGCAAATAATAACCTATTCATTATCTTCTCAGTCAGGGCAATGCTTGTCCATGCCCTTCCATAAATCTTCCATAAATCATCCAGAGATGATCCTCATGTTGAAGGATTTCCTCTTTTTTCTATCTCATGGATATCTCTACAGTATCTGAGATATCCTAAGCAGTCAAACCAACATTTTTTTTTTTTGGTTCCACTGACTTCAGAGGAGCAGGGGGATAGAAGAGAAAGAACATTGGATATCTAACCCTTGACCTATGTTTCAGTTCCAGTTCTACAAATAATTACCTGAGTGACCATGGCAAGTTATTTAATCTTTCTGGGCCTCAGTTTGTTCATGTGTAAAATGGAGATATTAGTATTTACAGTATCTACCTAATGGTTATGACGGAGAAAAGTGCTTTGCAAGTTATAAAGTGCTATATAAATGTACTCTATCACTCCACATCATTATATTACAAATTAAGCTTGTTGGAGTAAAAATATCTTTGGTAGGCATCTTCCACATTCAAAAGCACTTAACTATCCTGTGCAGCAGTTCTAACAGACCCAGGAGAGAGATTGAAGAAAGGGAGGAGTTTAAAAAGCCCATAGGGTCTGCATAATCTGTCCACAAATACCTGAGATCCTTATCTATACAAAGGAATGTGACTTCCTTTCTAACTTTCCACTTAGACTCTTTGGGCATCTCCTGGTAATTTTTTTTTTTTTGATGGTGAAAGAAAGAGAAAAAAAAAGGAAGGGATGGGAGATGAATGAGAGGACCAAATTTGGAGACTCCCTCAGGTCTAAACTCTCACAATTAGAGGACTTAGTGAGATTTTTGTTTCACTAAAAAAAAAAAAAGGCATGTATGTTCAAATATTTATCTTTCTGAGGCTATTTTTGTAATGATTTTGACTTTTGAATATAGATCTCAAGAAGATGGAATGATTTTGATCATCTCCTTTCCTATTGGAAAATATATCTGTAGAATAAAAAAGGGGGTTATTATAAACTTCTCTAAGGTTCTCTTTCATTACAATTATTTTTAGATCGTCCTTTTGCATTTGGATTCAAAGTTTTATTTTGAATATGTTATGTTTCCCAAAATATAGGGAAAACAATTATATACCATTTTCATACATTTTTAATTAATTTAATTCTCTCTTTATATTTTCATAATTTGATTTTTATTTTTTCATTTTATGTCATTATCTGTTCCAATGAGTGCCTCTCCCTCCCCACTATCGCTCCCCACCAAAAAAAAAAAACCAATAACAAGAACAATCACCATCACAGAGCATATGCCTCTTTTAACAAGTACAGTTAAGTAGAACAAGTCAATTTATTGTCCATGTCCTAAATACATATGTTCTCTAATTTTTTTATATCCATAATTTCTATGTTATTGTAATCATTTTCACAATAATAAAAATAATTCATTAGAAAGCAGCAGATATAATTATGCTAATAATAGGAAAGAGAAATAATTTGGAAGCATTTTAAACACATTAAGATGGCAATAATTACACAGAAGTCCAATGAAGTCTAAACTAAAGTCCAACTCCAACTTTTCACTTTAACATGGAGGCCACTCTGGGTTCTCTGGGTTCATACCAGCAAAGTACAAGCTCTGGCAGTTTGTACTAAGATGGAAAAAAACCAAAATAAAACAAAACAGAACAACAACAACAGTAACAAACTTTGAGTATTGGTCTGAGATGTCCGTCATCTAAGTATTAGCCTAGCTAATTTGGAAAGACTCATCTTCAAGATGACCATAGAGTGGTAAAATTTTAAGCTATAATAACTCTAGAAAACCATTTACTGAGTCTAGGATGACTTATAGTCTTAAATGCAATGCAATCAGTACCAATGCAAATGAAATTACATACATGTGTATATATATATTATATATACATATTTATCATTCTAGAGTATGGTAATATTACTTTTATTCAAAATTCAGTTTTCTGACAGCTTCTATGACTGAAAACATACCTGGGAACAAGGAATCAAACAAACAAACAAAAAATACCTTTATACAAACAAAATTAATATCAATAATTCCCTACACTTACAAAGACCATTCTTCAGGTCCTCACTTACAAAGAGGGCTCTTTAGACTCTCATTTTGAGCCTGTCTACTCTTGATTTACCCAAATTATAACAAAAATTTTTTTCTAAGTCCGTTGCAGACATACAGCAACAAATTAGAATGAGGAGTGCTAAAAGCACACACTCAGACTCTACTGAGAAATGAGAGTTAACAGCCTGCCAGCATAGGAGGAGAACAATGGAAGAGAGTGCTGGTTTGAGAGCCAGAGGACCTTGGTTCAGGTCCTAACTCTTCCACTTCTTACTTGTATGGACTTAGTACTTAAACTCTCAGGATTCAATGGTCCATATTTATAAAATAAGAGGGTTTGACTAGAAGATGTTTAAGGTTTCTTGTAGCCCTAAAATTATGGATAAAGGATTAAATACTCCAACAAAAGAAGATACAAGGATTTTTAAAAAGTCACAAAACTCTGGAGCTCTTTAATGTTGGGGCAAACTCGTCTTGCACATTAGGTTCTGAGGTATTACTATGTTATGGTGTAGCACAATAAATCATATTTATGATGACCCTGGAATATCAAAACAGTCTAGATTGTGATTAGTATTCACTATTTAAGATGTCAAGGACCTATATGATGCATTTTGGAAAAATTTAAATTAAAGGAAATAAAATAGCAAAGTTTGGTGTCTTAATAGTAGAAACCCTTGGACACTGATGAAAAACTTTGTAACTGAGAACAAAATCATTCCTCAGGATTTCAAATAACAGAAATTTTATTGTACTGAAAACTCATTTGTAAGAAGGCAAATCAAATATTAATATGCAACTATTTTGTAACCTGAAGAATTTTCATTAAATGTAATATTGGTTAAGTTTTTTTTTTAATTCATACCTGCTGTGAGCTACTGAAATTCGTTGAATTGGAAACAGAATTATTTGCATAAATAGTAGATGATGGTGCAAAACTAGAACCTAGGAATGAAGAATAGATTATGTTTTAAATGATTTCTTACATTATACATGAAAATATTTCACTTAAACTACACAAACTTTTGTTAAACATCAATGATAATTTATAATCTTCTATTAGATAATACAAGGAAACACACTCCCAACTTTGGTGTGTTATTTTCTATATGTAAATTTAAAGAAAACATTTTAAAATATGTTAGTGTGTATTCTGTACAGGTCTTACATTCATAAGCATGAGCATTTGAGAATTGTACTGTGTTATCACTCAAAAAAAGCCCTCTAAGGCTTATAGGTTCATAGACCCCAGAACCCTCTAAGCTCCAAGCTACTGACTCAAACTGAGATTGTTTATGACATATTGTAAGAGTTAAGTCACTATACAAAAATATATTTGTATGTTATATTCACTTTGACTGCTAACATCAAATATGCCTACTTTATTCAATTAATTATTTTGGTGGTTCTTTTCTACTAGGAAGTATGGAAATAAGAGAGAGAGAAAAAAAGAAAGGCAGAGAAAGAAAAAATGGAGGAGAGAGGAAGAGAGAAGAAACAGACTGTTAAAAATTCATTTTAGTAAATCAATCTGACTTTTTATAGCTTTATTAACTAATTTGTTGAATTGAGTATTGAATACAGAAATCATTCAAAAATTAGTAGCTCCGTTTTCGTGATTCAAAATTCAAAAGTAACATTGAAGAAAATAAAAATAAGTTCCTTTGTAACAATATTTCCATTCTACCACCAGTTTTTTTTATGCAAGTACCATATAATAATCAGAATTACTCCCCCTTAAAACAAGAAAAAAACCCCAGAGATTATGGACACCAAAATAAAAGTCAAATGATGTTTATAAAACAAGACAGAGTTGAATATTTGTGAAAAGAAAAAAAAATGGCAAGTACTACTTACCAGATATTAGGTTATGGATAAAGTTATTTTACCAAGGAAAAATCACACACATACATCAATATTCACTGATTATTGCAAAAATTTGCTTAAAGTTGCTAATTCAATTTTAAAGCTAACAAAAGACCATTTGGGGCTTTGTAAGTAATAAAAAAAATTTCTGCTATGAATATTTTAGAGAGCCCCAATGGAAACTCAAAGTGTTGATTGAATGGATAATTTTGTCATCACTGGTTTGGAGAACATTTTGTCTGGACTTGGGCTCAGGGTGATGTCATATACTTTAAATTTTAGAACTGATCAGTTTTCATAAGGTACGTTTAAAGCTTTTCCTTATATTTCTACCTGTTCCTTGTCTTATATAATGAACTTTTGCAAACACCATAGAAAATTTCCTTCTATCGTAGACTTTATTTCCAATCTGCATCCTATGAAGTCGTCTTCTACTGTGGTTAATGCATAGCTACTTACCTGGCATTTGGTAAGAATAGGGTGTTTGGCCTGGCTGGGGCGTAGAAAACCCTGGGCTGTAACTGAGGCACCCCGTCTGTAGTGGTGACTGGGTTTGTGAAAGTCCACTTTCCGTCTTGATGCCTGGCAACATCACACCTAAATCTGGGTGAGCAATTTTGTTCAAAGCAATTTAATAATTAACTTAGTGAAATCCTCAGTTGCAGATGACACAAGAAAATAAAATTACCAACTAGTACAGTCTCCCACTTATAATGAAAGAACAGAAATAAGATGCAAAATACCGTAAGTGGGTAAGCTGTAAGGTTGTCCTGTCTGTGAGTAGGCCGTGTACACTGCTGGTTGCTGCATTCCTGAATACTGAGTCTGGCCAGCATAGGCAGACATTGTTTGAGCTGCTGGTGTAGAAAGAATGTGTGGATAGGGCCTAAATATCAGAAAAATAGCATTACTGTGGCAACAAAGATTATACATTCATAAAGACAGCTTATCATCTTTTAAATAATAAAACCTTTAAAATTCCAAATGGGAATCTGCCTCTCTGTCCATAATTTGGACAGCTAGGAGGTGCAGTGGATAAGACACTGGCCTGGAGTTGGGAAGATCTGAGTTTAAATCTAGCCTCAGATACTTACTAGCTGTGTGATCCTGGGCAAGTCAACTTAACCCTGTTTGCCTCAGTTTCCTCATCTGTAAAATGAGCTGGGGAAGGAAATGTCAAACCACTCCAGTATCTTTGCCAAGAAAACCCCCGACGGGGTCACAAAGAGTCAGACACAAATGAAATGACTGAACAATAACAATACTTCAGAATTTAATTATATATTTTGTGGCGCAGTAGATAGAGCACTGGACTAGGAGTCAGGCAAACTGAATTTTAGTCCTGGCTCTTCCACAAATGAGCTGTGCGATCTCTGTCAAGTCCCTGATCCTCCCTAGGCTTTAGCTTACTCATTTGATAAATGGGGTGGTTGGACTTGATGATTTCTAAACTTCTGTCTAGTTTTAAGTTTTATATATATATACATATATGTATATATATACACATACATATATATGTATATATGTGTGTATATATGTATATGTATGTATGTATGTATAAATTTTACTTAGAATCTTAAAATACTTATTTCTGTCTGGCTTAAGTTTCATGGTATAATATTTGGAAAGCGTCACCAGGATTGGCCATGACTTAATAATTCTTCATATTAAGTGTGCATGGTATATCATCTACATGAAACAGGACATTTGTGAACAGGTTGAGTGATATGACCATGATCACACAGTATAATGATTAAATGATTCCCACTTTTAGGGTCATAACTTTGATTATGTTAACACACTAAAAGTTAACCAAAAAGCTTAAAGAAACAACACTGTAAATTTTAATGAATGTATTATTCATCCTGCAATATTAAAAGTATATACTTTGGTTTTGGGTTAGAATTATTTTATAAATTCTAAAAAAGGTCATTAAAGTAAAAAAAAAATCATACTTCTGCAACCGCTTCAGTTTTGTTTAAAACAAAAAATAGGATTAATGTTTTACATCAAAACTTATGGATAATATATGAATTGTGTGTACATCTCTATATATGGAAATACATAAAATTTCTTAAAATAAAAAAGTGATATTAATCTTGCATTATGATAAATTACCTCAAATAAGGGCATGTCAAAAAGCCTTATGGAATGAAATCACATGCTTATGTTTCCAGCTATGTATAACTTAAAAGTCTGCTTCTCCTAACTTTTCCATTCCCTAGGTACACATGCAACTGAATACTTGAAGTGTGAGACAAAAGAAAAGGGAAAGAATTGCATTACAATTTATTCTGCTTTCCCTTAAAGTGATGGCTCTATTTGATTATGTAATCCTTCATACCTAAGAAAATGACAACTTTTATTTAGCTGTATTGTTACTTCCTTAGAAAATAGTCATATTGAATTTATACTGATACACATATATACACACAGTATGTGTGTGTGTGTGTGTGTGTGTGTGTGTGTGTGTGTGTGTGTAAAATCCAAAGCCTGGGAACATAGAGTTCTTTCCACACAAATCTAGATTTATCTCTTAAATAGTGTTAAAACTTGGTATACATGGAAATACCTGAATAAGTTTGGCAAACCAATTATAGACCAGAAAAAAATATATAAACTGTCATCAGAGAATGAAGCATAACTAAAAATCTAACACAATGTTTCAATCTAATAATATTTTTTAAAAGTCAAGCAATTCACCAAAATGTTCATAATTTAAGCAGTGAAGTCTGAACTTGTAACTGTAGAGATGTTTATGCTTACTTAAACATTTTATCTTTAAATTAAATTGAATATAGTATACCAATGTTGAATCAGTTTTGGTAAAAAAAAAACTGCATCATCTACCAGAATTTATTACATTTCTTAGGACAATATGAACATTAATGTTTCCAAAACAAGTGTATATATCTAAATTTGACCAGATCGAAGGGGGTGAGCCTTCATCTTTAGTTAGCTTAAAAAATAACCTGTCATTTGCAGTCTATAAATTGAGATTTTTGTAAAATCATAAAATAATTTTGGCTATTTGCTTTGACACACCAGAAAAAAAGTGATCACTTACTTGGAGGGATACAACTGTGGGGAATACTGATGTGTTGATCTGGGACTGTAGCCACTACTTGTTATTACTGTAAGACACAAAATATATGTATATATAAAGTTGCAACATAACTATATCTCATTAAGATACATGATAATAATTTTAACAAAATAATAAGTGTTAGTATTTCAATTTATTTTAGCAATATTTGGTATCTCAAATAACAATACTCTTCAAAAATTTATTTTGACTTTGTGGTTTTTAATACCAGCACTGAATACATGCATTCAAACTCCCTAATAAACTTCTATCCCAAGGGAAAAACATTTTCTGAAAACAACATGGCAAATCATTTGAAGTCACTATAGATTTCTGTGGCAGCAGTTTAGTGAAGTTTCACAAGTAGAAAATGTTATAATACATCACAAATATTGATTTTGATATCAAATGAAGGAACAGTGAACAGAGTTTCATGTGTATATCTATTCCAACATCCAATTCCCTCCCCCAAATTGAAGTTTACAAATGTTGTTTTAATGTTCAAATTTTGATTTAATTACATTCAATTTTGCCTTTTCATTTTAATCCATTATATTGGGAATTAATAGTTTACGATAGTAAAAAACATCCTTTAGCCAAAAACACACATGCAATATTTTAATGTAATAGTAATGGTAACATTTTAAAAAATAAAAGTACAAACTTTTAATAATATAGCAGTAGCCACCTTTACCATGGCATCTCTAAGCTATCAAAAGAAATACTCTTCCAAGAGGAGGTTAAAGTGTGATAGTCAGCTTTTATTTACATTTCATCCACAAATACTGACCCAAACTGGACTAATTCCAACAGTTTGAAGTTTCTCTTTCCTTTAGCCATCTGTCTTGACTAAGACAGATGTATTCCAAATATATGTACACTAAAGTGTTGAACCAATCCCTTCAGAGCAAATCCATACTGGGCAAACATACAGAGTGTCTTTATTAGGCCATCTGCTGTTCATTCACTTTTCAAAAAGATTAAAGTAGTACACGATGTAGCACTGGAATTACTTTAGTCTAATCAATCATAGTTATACTTCAAAGTACTAAATCCTTCCTAAATTGTTCATAATAATACCAGAACCAAACCTTCAGAATTGTTTAAGTGACAAATAGGTTTAGGTTCCTAACTATTTTATGAAACATGATATATTTCTAGTTCCAAATATCATTAAGGGACCTTGGGATCTATTGCTTTATAAGCATGTAGAATTTTAACAGGTTTAAGTACTTTTTTTTTACCTGTGTGCTCTGAATCTTTAAAGTACATTTTAAATAGCTTATGAAGCAATGATACAAAATCTACCCTTCCAAGAACTCTTTGACTCAGATTTGAAAAGTAAATAAATGTTGGTCAATAATGTTTTGATTTAATGGTAACAGTTTTAGTGAAACAACAATCATAAATGATATTTTATGCAATCCAAAGTAAAAGAACCATTGCATTATTCAGGTTCTTCTTGATTTTTAAGCACTTAAAATGGCTACGGCTTATCAGTTCAGCTCATTAAGAACAAAAAGCTGTGTGTACCATAATGTGGGAACTTAGTAAATGTTGCATAACAGTATGCCATGGAAAATTCAAGTCTAGCTTATTTGAGTCACATGAGAGAATTTTAACCCTCCTCTAATTATGTCTCTACCATTTTTTAACCAAAAATATGAACAGATGAAACATGATTATACCCACTTGTCTCAATGGCTAAACTTTGGCAAACTTGAAATTTATGTGTTTTAAAATCAACTTTTCTTAGCTTTGGGAAATATGAGGTTTTACCACAAAGCTGTGGCAAAGGATGGATGGCTAGAAATTTAGCAACAGCTAAATGAACTGCCTTTTTCCCCAAAGCAAGACATCAGTAATGTTTGTATGTGTTTATACATTCACATATATCACAGCAATCTTACATACTGAAATTAAAGACAACTTTGCTTTTCTTTCCTTTAGTTTGTGAATCTAGACATTATTTTGAAAATGCACCCACAGGAGTATCAAGACTCAGATCAAACAATACTTTCTACAAGAGTTCTTTCCTGCCCCCACCACCTGCTAATGCTTCCCTTCTAAAGTCATCTTCACCTACTCTGTAAGTATCTATATTATCAATTTATATTCATGTTCTCCCCCATCAAAATTGTAAGCTTATTGAGGGCAAAGGCTGATTTTACTTCTTTATCTTTCTTTTTTTTTT